ATCAAAGAGGAAAGTCTTAAGTCTAGTCTTAAATGTGGAGATGGTGTCTGCCTCCCGGACCGTAACAGGAAGATGATTCCACAGGAGAGGAGCCTGATAGCTGAAGGCTCTGGCTCCTGATCTACTTTTGGAGACTTTAGGGACCACGAGTAACCCTGCGTTCTCAGAGAGCAGTGTTCTGGTGGGATAATATGGCACTATGAGCTTAGAATATATAGTTCACATAATCGGGTCAAAATTAATGCTTGAAGATCCACTCATTACTAAAAGTCTTTGTCATCAAAAAGAGACGATAAAAACTATAGTAATGGTCAAAGTTGTCGCAGTAAAATTTAAGGTGTGTTGATGGATTCACGTCATCATCTCATGCATTGAGTAACATTACAAGTTAACGTTCCACCTTAAAAGTCGCCGGCAGTCGGCCCAGTTTACTAGTAAAACTCTCCACAGTATGAACAGTGGTTACATGAGCCTCAAAACCAGACACAACTCAGCCCTGAGCAGAGTGACCATCCTCTATTGACCAATCAGACTGCAGTGTTCACAGCTCCACCTTTTAGTACCAGATCTGTGTGCTAGGTACCCCAACAGAGGGGGGACCAAACATGGGGACGGTACGGAACGGTTCCATTGGTACCATCCACAACTTCTAGCAGTGGAAACAAAAAAAAGAGCGTACCAAACTGAACCGAACTGTACCGTACCTGCAGGTTCCCAGTCAGCTACACAGCAAGAGAGAAAGAGTTGAGTAGAAGACAAGGACGGTGTGTCGGCATTGCTCCACCATTGTCAGGTATGTGAGTGGAAACACATGCAACATGCTAACGTGCATATGACTGCATCACCCAATGTGCTGTCACAAGGACAAGGAAAAAACAGCCCAGACCCCAACTCCTTATCTCCACTGCTTTCAAGCAGCCTATATGGAAGGATACCATAGCTTGTTAAATGCCCCCGTGTTTACCTTCCAATGTGACTTGGAGGTTGATCAAATTCATCCGCGTCTGCTCAGTTTCACCCTCATTTGGCTGGTGGCAG